CAGTGTCTTAGTCACACCTAAGTGAGCAGCTGTTTCGATATCATGACAGTATTGTAATGCTGTCCTACGCTCACTGCTGGGTACTATTGCCTGTAGGCAGAATGACTTGCCACTGTCCTCTTGGTATCTCCTGTACAAGATGCCATTGTCAATGAAAAGACTTTTCTATTGTGACCACAGGGATCTCATGACATACCCAAGTCCACTTATTTCATGGTACAAAGGTCGACTCCTTGTTTGCAGCTAGCCTTTCACTAGTTTCAGGTCCCTGTCTTTGTCTTGCAGTTCTTGCATCTTGTGACAAGGCTGTCTGCCTGGAAGAGCTGCATTGACATGTGTCATTGTATTTGCATCTTGGACCCTCTTTTCATCTGATGCTGATTTCTCCCATTCAGGGTCATAGCCACATTGTCGACAAGGCACTCTGCTCAAGGCATCAGCATTTCTATGCTGTATGCCGGGTCGATGTTGGATCTGAAACTTGTAGGTACTCAAGTTTTCTAACCATCTGGCTAGCTGACCCTCAGGATTTTTTAACTTGAACAGCCACCTTAATGAACCATGATCACTGCAAATGAAGAACTCTTTGCCATAAAGGTAGTGTTTAAAATGTTTAACGAAATGTACGACAGCTAAAAGTTCTTTTTTCGTAACACAATATCTACGTTCACATTTTGTTAGTGTCGTACTGGCATAGACTATGACATGCTCCTTTCCATTCTGTAATAGTACTGCCCCAATTTCTTGGTCACTCGCATCTGTGTCTGATATGAATGGAACCGTAAAATCCGGAAAGGCTAGCACTTGGGACTGAACCAAATGGTTTTTAAGACAATCAAATGCACTCTGTTGTCCATGCAAATGCTTTCCCCTTCTCGGTTAGAGCATGAAGACACTTAGCAAAGGCAGAGAAATTCTTAATAAATCTCCGATAGTATCCACACAAACCCAAAAATTACCTAAGCTCTGTAACATTAGCAGGTACTGGCCACTATTTGACCACTGCTATCTTGGGTCTGTGGATACCCCTTGCTCCGAAACAACATGCCCAAGGTATGCTACTTTTCGTGCAAAGAGACAACATTTCTTGGCCTTAAGCTTTAGATTGGCAGTTCTCAGCCTTTCAAAGACCTTTTCCAAATTGTCAAGCATTTGTTCAAATATTTTGCCAGTGACAATTATGTCGTCTAAGTATACCTTACAAATGTCCCATTGCAATCCAGCTATGACGCTCTCCATGAGGCGTTCGAAAGTTGCAGGGGCACAACTCAAGCCAAACGGCATAACGTTGAATTTGAACAAGCCTCGTCTTGAGGTATAGGCGGTTTTCGGGTTGTCTTCATATGCCATTTCAAGTTGCCAATAGCCTGAGCAGAGGTCGAGTGTCGAAAACCAGGTAGACTCAGACAACTGGTCAAGTGACACATCAATCCTCTGGAGAGGGTATGCATTTTGTATAGTGCAACTGTTAAAGCGACGATAGTCAACACAGAACCTATACGTCCCATCTTTCTTCCTGACCAAGACTATTGGTGAGGACCATGGACTGTTGGAGGGCTGTATGGCACCTTTTTCAAGCATGTCGTCTATATTCTTGTCTACTTCATCTGTCAGATGAGCTGGCACTCTTCCTGGTCTTTGTTTAACTGTCACCTGTGACAGACAAGCTGATGAAACAAGAATATCAGGAGTGTCGTTAAAAGTCATCACTTCGTAAGTTCTATGGTCGATGAAATGGACTTGTAAGCAAACACAATTTATCATTGAGTCAAATGCTGACTGACGTTTTTCACACTCATAGTAAGTCCATTATTTATAAACTGAATAGTCGTCGGATTTTTTCGTTACTTCCCAATAATGAATGGAGCACATGTTTGTTGTGACCGGTCGGTAAGGGATGTTCACTCCTCCAAGACACCTGATGCCACCTCTGACGTTTTGGAGGTTCGTTTTTGCTCCTATTTTGTATTGATTTATGGACTTTTAATTTGAGCTTGAATACTGTTTGTTATCTATATTTCATCTTTTAGATTTCAATTTCTATAAATATGCCTATGTAAAACCAGCTAGAGAATTATTTTTAACAAAGTAATTTTATTTATGACTAAACATCTAAGATATGATCATATGAAGTATGATAAACATTTAGCGCATAAACAAATATAGATCAATTGTCAATTATCAGTATAAGTACATAACTGGCACACAAAGCGTAGGTTTTTAAATTGATAACAAATAACTTTGGCACACTCCAAGACCAAGCTTAATGGATTGGTGGCTATTTATTCTAGACAATAGTTTTTAAATAATAACCATACGGACCAAACTTACAGCAGAATAAAACTTAAGTTACTGTTTAGGACTTAAAGGGGCAAGGACCAAGTTTCAGCTGAAGTTTTCAGATGTATTATCCATATTTTTTGTTCACAATACTAAACAAAAGTATTTCTTATGAACATCAAGACTTTGAAGGTCAGTTATTGAGATGCAAAACAGATTTAAAGCTTCCACCTTTCCTTTACGTTGACCTGTAGACTTTTAAAATCCCATACTAACAAAATATTGTTCAACTAGCATGTAAACACGTCGACCCGTCGACCTGTAGATCTGTCGACCCGTAGACTTGTAGACCCGTAGACCTGTCGGCCTGTAGACTAGTAGACTTTAGACCCGTAGACCTGAAGGCCAGTAGACCCGTCGGCCTGTAGACAAATAGACCTGTCGACCTGTCGATCCATAGGTCGATTCATAGGTCGATTCATAGACCTATAGACCTGTTAACCCGTAGACCTGTAGGCCCGTAGAACTGTCGACCTATAGACCCTTAGACCTGTAGACCCATAGACCTGTCGACCCGTAGACCTTTAGACCTGTCAACCTGTAGACAATGACAATATAGTAATGAATATTGCGCATTAATATACCTAAATATTTTTTTTTCAAATACGAACTACTTTTCCGTATAACCAACTTCTGGTTCTATGTCATCTTATGTACACATAAATTTGATGGGAACATCTTAAATATTGTTCTTTGTCAGAACCTGGGGATATGTGACGACCAGAACATTAATTGTTCTTAATAATCTAATGTGAGGTCACAAGAAAGACTCGATATATCCCATTGAAATCGGAATAAAATACGTCAGAGTATCTGCCATATCTGTTATATTCGGATGTTTTACTGGTTACTTGAACTTGTGTTTAAATGTTCTTTGAAAATTGAATGTTTAATACTCATCACATTTAATCAATCTGAGCTGGTTTGGGTTGGTGGATGCTTTGTATCAGTATATTATTTTGTGTACACTGTGATAAAATAATGCTTTGTACTTCCTTTATTTTGAACTAAACCAATGGCCTCGAGCATTATGATCGTTAGTAATCTATGAGTCTGCATTAATTGTCAAAATGTGATCATATACAAACCTTAGCTATCTATGTCTCTAAAACCAACATCTAAATGTACTTTCTCATATGAAATATACAAGTATGGAGATAACGAACAGCATTCAAAAGTCCATAAAACAATATAAAATAGGAGCAGAGCAAATACGGACATCCGAAACATCATATGGGTTATATAATGTTTTTAATGAAGAAAAGGTTGCTGTTGAATTATAAATTTGACACCTATAGAGCAAGTTCTAGCCTTTACATGTACTACTATTTTTATTGATGTGAATGATAATGTAGAAATACTGGAGTTAACTGAGGAAAAGACAGGGTTATTAGCCTCGACGGTATTTAGATTTGAATTATTTTAGTCTTTGGACTACATGTGAGCTTCCTTTCTTTTCTGTTTGGGGTGAATGATGCATGATGTTTCCATTTTAAAGCCATATGAGCTGCATTTTTTAAAATATGTATTTACCTATTAAAATGTGTTATAATAAATATTTATGCTATTTAAACCTTTATGGTCAATTAGTCTATAATTAAGAACTAAACTGTTTCAGAAGAAAGACTTCTGTACAATCAATTATATCAGATTATTTAAGAAATCAATGTTGTACAGGACGACAATAATTCAATTTTGCTTCAAACAAAGCTTATAAATAGTTCTTCCTTTGCAAATATGAGTAACAAAAATTTATAAATATTCTTTTTCTCTGTCCTTGAATTAGTTAATTACAATTTTGCAACAAAAATTTTTTCCTCATCATTTTACTTAAGTTGTTTCGGAAACTTGTAATTGCTGTGCTTGTCGCTAATTTTATTTTTAGAAACTAGTAAATAGTGTTTCATTTATTTTCAGTTTGTTGATCTTAATGTGACGAATACTATGTCATTTTAAAGCACCACGGAGTAATAGTGTTATTTTAGTAGTGTAATGTAATTTGAAATACTGTTTCTTGTTTATTATGTATGATTGTTGTATTTTATGTAACATTATTATGTAGTCGGAAACAAAGCTCTTCAGAGCTTATGTTTTTGTTGAGGTACCCGGCTTTAAATAAATATTATCTTAATATCTATATTATCTTATCATCATCTGCATCTGATTACACCTGTGATATATTTAGAAGTCCGTGTTTGCCTTCTCTCAGATTGTTTTGTTTCAATGGACCTCTATGCTTGATTACTAGCTGTTCTTAATCTTATTTCAGCCATTGGTTGAAAATATTCAAAGCAAGGAAAAAAATCGGGGGATTTAATTTTTATATGGCTTAACAATTGTCCAGTACTTTCAATCTAACAAAATCATGAAAACGAAGAAGAAAATTGCATACATGTACATAACACTGAAAGTTTCATTTTTTATATAATTTGGAAACAATTGTTTCTAATATGTTCGTACTAGGAAGCTTCCATATTTTCTACACTTAGTTCTTATATAATTTTTCATTTTTTCCTGATGTAATAACTGTTTTTTACTCTAGTTTAATTTGTCTGAAAATAAAACCCAACAAGCTCTTATGTAGTCAAGTGTGTAATACGTAATCTTTTTAAATATACATCCCTTGTCACGGTCGTTGTATTTAAACTAAAAATAGAGTTATAAAATAGTATCTATCGATATCACGAACATAAACATTAGAAAATGTATTGCTTGGAACAACCACAGTGTAAATATCAGGATTATAGTCTAAAGTGTTCATCTGGTGCTGGACCACCATTTAATACCCGGTATCCAGCATACAGGGACGACAAAACGAGATTACTGTCGTTTAATGACGCTCCCCTTGAACTCCATAAAATGGCGAAGGTTTTATCCAATGCCGGGTACTATTATGAAGGTTTGTATTTGAAAATTGAATCGAAACTTAAAGTAAGAATGTTCTTATTAATGTGGGCATTCAATGGAGGATATTTTGACAGTGTGATTATTGGTATTATAGTGTTATTAGTAGTATATAAAACTACTTTTTTTCTTCATAATTCAAAACGAAAGTAAAATTAATATGACCTATATTGATATATTATGCAGGAGAAAGGAAGTAATTCGTGAATTCTGCGTAGGTTAAACTTAATTTAGGTTCCATGGAAAATATTGTTTTAAACTTCCATGTTATATTTTTAAAATCATATTTATGTTTATTGTTCAAAAGAGATACTAGTATTTAATGCTCTTGCAACTAATTTGAGTATGTACTTTTTGGTTTGTACTAACTTATGTGCGGATTCCATTTACCAAAGTATAATTATTTGCTATATTTATTGTTATACAAACTCTAAATGAGCAAGTTCCTAAGGAATTTGTAATACAGTGTATTTGAAGAAAAAATTAGATAAATGCACTTCTCATAATATTTATAAAATGGAGAAAATACATGTATTCATGTCCTTTTTGCATTTTCATTATTTTAAGGTATTAACATATAATAATCATAAAAGAATGATTCGAGATTTTTAATTATGGTGTTTTCAAGTAAAAGTACTCAACCGTGGGAAAATTTTGATTATTGTCAAACTGATTGCACCTTAAAATTTACACTGAAACCCATGGACAGAGCATATTGAAAAATGTAATATTGGAACTTCATAAAATCTATTAGTAAAAGTATATGCAAAAAAACTTCTTCATTAAACTATGAAATAACATGAATCAAGGTCCCAAAATTAAAAGAGATATTAAAGTAATATATCAAAATCTTTTGATATAGATAATAAGGAAACTTTTTATACATAATATTGCAAAAATGAAATTTTGCTTTCAGGATACAACACTAAAACTTCTTGTTTCGCGTGTGGTGTTCAAAGAGACAATTGGTCAGAGTGGGACAACGCTTTGGAAGAACATTTTAAAGACAATGCAATGTGTTGGCACGTGTTATTGATGAGAAAAAAGTTTGAGTTGGAAAATCGCGCTCGTGAACCTTCCCATAGTGTTAAAAAATTAATTTCCACTGCTCGACATCCTGAATACGCATCGGAATCATTACGCACAGCTTCTTTTCAAGACTGTAAAACTTCTTTGAAACAAAAGGGTTCAGAACTTGCAAAATCTGGAATGTACTACAAAGGTTTGAATAATATTTCAATTATCTTAATTTTTATAATGTATCTGAAAACTTTTTTTGTTTGATTATATTTAACGTTTGAAAAAAAGTTATGATTTACAAGTTCGAATCATTGGTAAATCTTGATAACAGTTCTTCTTTTATAAATTTCTTAACTTTTAAATTGAGGTGATAGCAATTTTTTAACCTTATTATTTTGATTAAATGTTTTATGTTTTCTAAAACGTATGTTGTAATCCTTTAGGTTTTGAAAACAAAGTGCAATGTTTCCATTGTGGAGTTGTCATGTCCGTGGACATGAATGACGACCCAACAGAAATACACTCACGTTCATCTCCAGATTGTGAGTTTCTTCGTTATGAAGTACAGACATTGACTGAAGACGCGGATAGAATTAGAAATCAATTACTCTGTAAAGTCTGTCTTAGTTCTCAAGTAATGGTCACATTCCGACCATGTGGTCATCTGGCCACGTGTCAAGCATGCGCAGATCAATTACAGTCCTGTCCTATTTGTAGGACGACTATTTCTGATAAAGTGAAAACATACTTTTAATTATTTTAAATTGATTATTTTTTATTTAGACATTATATTGTGATGGTATATTGTTTTGAGTGGCAGATTTCCAAGGAACAAGGGAATGAATGAAAAATCACATTCTACAGTGAATAAATTTCTAGTGTATGTATATTTCCTAACAAAAGGTGTTGTTCTATGTAAAGGCTCTAAATTTACAAGACCGTGTTTCTAAATTTATATTAGTTAAAAATCATACTAGTCAATACTTTTTCGTTCCTCATTCTGACATACATACTAGAAATAATACTGAGATGTGAAGATCAAAATTGACTTTGGATTAAAAATTCATATTTGTAAAAATTCTTTTATACAGCTAAATAACATTCTGGTCAGTTTTATTTCTCAAAAGGTTATTTTAGAAAAAAAAAATACGTAGAAGCAATATTTCATCATTATAGAATTAATATTTGATAAATCTATGAAAGAAGATTTCAAATTGTTAGTTTTCAGAAGGCCCACATTCACAAGAATTACTTCCCTTTGGCCGCCATATTGGAAGTCAACATAATCTTATTCCTTCATTATTATTCCACTAACTTTAACTTTTGAAACTGGCAATTGTTGGGTAGGAAGCATGATTGTTTTTCTGAAAAAGATACACTTGTTAGAGCTTCTTATTTAATTATTTTTATTACATAAAGATCCCACCTTATTTCTGCTACACCCTCTCAAATTAGGTAAGACAAATGGGGAAAATTTGCTAAGATGGCGGCCAAAGAATATAACTCAGAGAGAAAGTAGGTCGTATGAAAACTCTCTATTAATCCTTTTAATTGAGTATACTTTAATATATCCTTAGGTAAGATGTCGTAAAAACATTGTGCTAAATTAAACAATATAATTTTTAAAAAATTAAAAACAAAATATCTAACCGAATTCGTTTTCTTGTAATGTAATTGATATGCCGAGTCCAAGGCTTCCGAATAGGGGTAAAAAATTACGTATCCGATATCCTATATATTTCTGTACCATGCATACCTTATTACATAATATTGGAACTTAAGGTGTTATGAGCGTTTGTGTAATTCGTGTTAATTTCTATTACATATTAATGTCTTAAATTGCGTTTGGTATTGTCAATTATAACACATGTTGAAATGCTTTGGTTGCTTCGTAATTTATTTATTAATAATTGCAAGCATCCTGTTAATCAATAAACCGGATTAAACCTTTCAAGAAGTCCATGCAAACAATAATTGTAAATGAAGTGTATCATTGGGTATTATACTTGTTTACGTGTATGCTTCATTCATTATGTTGTTTTCAAAAATTTCCTCCTAATGACTATGTTTTTTAATGTTAAAATGAATGAAATCGGAAAGAAAGTATCACAAAAGACAAATATTTCCATCAGCTTATTAATCTTAAGAATTAGAATTTGTAAGAATTTTCCTTTATTTTTGTGGGTAAAATTTTGAACCCCTCCCTATTGACAACTCCTGGGAACCTGACTTGAAAATATAATTCGACATGAAATCAGAAAAGTAGTACTTGAGCTCAAAATTCAAATAAAATAAAACAAATTTTGAGTAGAGCAGACCTTTAGAAACATCGGATGTGAAATCAAGAGGATTCGACATGATACGCCCACTATGTACCCGTTGCCTTATTCTTTTAGATTTAGTGGGGAATTCAGTTAAAAAATAGTGGTCTATGCTTTGTATAAAAAATTTCAATCAGCATTCAACTTAATGGTGGATAGTATTTGCATAAGTATCAGTAAACTGTCTCTATTTAGAAATTATTTAAGTATTGACCATTATCTTGGAAACAAAGATACATAGCGGGTTCCAGTAAATGTTCAACCAAGCCTCTTTCTTTTGTCCTCACTAATATACTTTAAACAGTAGTGAAGGAGAAATTTCAAGAGTACTGTGCAACAATATATTCAGGACGTGATGTAAACCAGATTGGATACTAAAAAATTCCGAGGAACTTTTGGACAATTTGAAATCACAAGATTTTACCAAAATAAACAATTTAAAAACTTACGACTGCTCAACTTTATTCACAATCATTTGGCACGATAAATAAAAGTCCAGGCTTTTTGACATAATTGACAGCAACTTTTTTCAATAAAAATGGAACTTGTAAATTGTCATTGATCATTTGCAAAATTATTCTGTTAAAATACATTCTGATTCTATACACAAGTACTCTAAAAATAAAAAAAAAAATGTTCGAGTTTGCAGATTGTGTCCAAAATCTTATTTATGTTCTCCAGTGTAATTTAACTAATTTTTACAAGTTCACTGAAGCTAGTTTTTTGCACACACTTCTAAATTTATGTAGACCATATCACATCCATATTAAAGTAACGCAAACACAAAGTCTGATGGATGAATTTGTCATTTATTATACATGTATAAATGACGACAGATAATGAAAAGATACATCAGATAAAGGGGAGATCACTCTTGAAAGAATGTGTAAATTTGTACAAAACATTAGTTGATCTCCCCAGTGTAACATATTACATGAAGAAAATCCAAATAAACAATCCAGAATGTAAAAAATAACAATCAGCAAAAAAGGTGGCAGACAAAAACTGCCAAAGTACAAGCATGCAATGTTTGTACCCACTGCCACCCAAAGTGAACTTGTATAACGAGGACATACATTATAACCAGTTTTCCTATTACATGTAAATTAGAAATCACCGAGTAATAATAATTTTGCACATTCAAATCTGACTATTTCATGATGTACTTGATCAACTCAGAGGTAGGCACATTTTTTTTTTTCCTTGGTAACAATTGCAACACCAAGGTTACATATATTTGATAATGACCGATATTAACATGTAAGTTAGAATGTAAGTTAAAGGAGTTTGGCTCAAAACATGTCTACAAAATGCAATTAAAAAGACAACCTTTGGTATCGCAATACCCATACTTTAAACCTTAGCTATCACCTATTAAACGTAAATGGATAACCACATATGTGTACGATACATGATATTCTCCAAACATCAGCAGACAACTTCTGGCCTAAAGTTGAACTTTACCCAATATACAATTCGTGATAATTTTCAGCAGACAACTTCTGGCCTGGAAGTTGACTTCATCAAACCCACAGTTCATGATAGACCTCAGCAGACACCTTCTGGCCTGAAGGTTTAACTTCACAAAAACTACACTTTATGATAGATTGATTTTCAGCAGATACCTTCTGGCCTGAAGAGTCAACTCAACGAATTTCTAAAAAATTAAATCCCGCAATGCCTATAAGTAATTGACTTGTCACTTACAAATGAAAGCTTTCTAATTTTATTCTTTTTAATTGCATCCGAATTCCATCTCCCCATTTTTTGAATAGATTTTTTTTTCTGAAAATCCCAATTTTGCATTATCCTTTGCTGCACCAATTCGAAAGCTATGCCTTTCCTATAGTTTTTGATTCAGACCAATGACAGATACTGCTTAATTTAGATGTTTATTTACAAATGAATGAGACACTGGTTGACCACAATGAATTGACCACCTAAATTCTTTTAATAAGAACAGATTATGCTGGATCTGCAAGATTTTTTATTTAGTGTATAAACCCTATTGCACATGTGTGGGATGAAATGCTATTAGTTGAGTATTTGTTGGCAAATAAATGAGTAATGAAATTGCATAAAACTATAGGTGAAATAGGTATTAGGCAACTGAAACCGCTGACCAGACTTAAAAATCTTCCAGCTTCATTGACATTAAGATGCTCTTGTGCTATTTGATAAAGATGCAGTCAAATTGCTTTAAGCCACTGGTGTTTACATTATCAAGAGATGATGTGGTATTGATGCTTGTTTCTAGAAAAGGTGAAATATTCCCCAAGACTGAAGCAAAATCTACTGACCCAGAGGCATCTGTGAAAAGTGTGAGGTATTGCAAAGATAATCATCGGTAGGAAAGAAGTATATATTTCCCATTGTAATATTCAATGAAATACTACCAGGTGTCAAGAGCTGCCCTTGCTTCAGTCAAAAGTGAGTTTATTGTAAAGAAATAGGTTTTTGGTTCCCTCAAGTTAAACTTGATTGATCGCATTCGGAATGCCCTTCCGGGAACTACTTACGTATACAGCACATGCAAATAAAAGACTGCATACTTTCTTCATAAACCTAGTATCATTCAAATTTATGTTTACTTTAAGTAATTCAGCCCCAGGCAATCAGTATTCCAAAGCAACAGAGCTATTTTGATAACATACTTACAAATCTACTATGTAGTTGAAGGAAATGTGTTTTTATCATCTTTAATTTGGACACGTACAAACACATTGTTATACCAATGCAATATATTCTTGAAATGGTTGTACCAATAAAAAAGAAATTATCTACCAGGTAATATGTGAGATATTCCTCCTGCTAAATAATTTAATGATCTCATCAATTAAACATAGTGCCCTCAGAGTCCTAGAACACCTGAATTTATGGAAACATTTCTGGGATAAGCCAAGGTAATAGATTATCCTAAATTTCCTGGATCTAATTTTGGAACAACATCTTATGTTATGGGGATGACCCGAAAATCATTAAAAGGTTTCTGATTGAAAAAAGGGGCCACCAATCCTACCAAGTGAAGAACTGTGTTCCACGTGTTTTTGTATTACCTAGCCATGTAATTTACACATTTTCTTAACCAGTGTAAGATACTATAATTGATGAGGGGCGTCAGTTGGAAATTTCCCTAAGTAGATACAAATGAAAACTTAAAAGGTATTTGTCTATTGTTTACATTAAAAGAGGGATACTTAAGAATTCTACTGTTCAATAATTGTAACTGAAGTCACTGTCCAAGTGAAGGAATTATTTTCATGATTTGGCCAGAAACTTCTTCACCCATATTTACCCAAACCCTTTTATTTTTGACTGAAATTGATGCTCCTAAGGGATGCCATCAGATAAAGAAATGAGATTGTCCATTTTTTGATATGTTCCCCTGAACATGTACCTTCCAATACACTGGTCACCAATTTCTCCACTGAGGCATCTTGACTTCCTG